GTGGCAGAAACATGATTCAAACTCAGCCCTTCTAATCTCAAATCTGGGGGACTCTTTTATCCACATCACTGTTACTCTCTCTCTCTCTCTCTCTCTCTCTCTCTCTCTCTCTCTCTCTCTATATATATATATATATATATATATATATATATATATATGTATATATGTGTGTGTGTGTGTGTGTGTGTATGGGGGAGGGTGTGTGTATATATATATATATATATATATATATATGCATAATTTTTTTTTTGGTGAGTCACACAGCTAGTGAGTGTTATGTGTCTAAGGTTGGATTTGAACTCAGGTCCTCCTGACTCCCAGGCAGGTGCTCTATCCACTGTGCCACCTAGCTGCCCCAACGTTCTATATTTTTCAGTTGTTTTTCACTCTTTCTTTTAGAAAGCTTGGCACAGTGGGAAAAGTCTAAAACAAACATCTGAAGACATAGGTTTGAGATTCCATTAGCCACTTTTTGGCACTAATGTTGGGCAAATAGTCTCCTACTCCATGTCTCAATAGTATTTCACTCAATCTTAAAGAAGTAGAATGGAAGACAAATACAACAGAATATGATAAGTACAAGAGAGCACCCAAGAATTCTAAGAAAATGTGAAAAGGAAGAAATGGTTTTGACCTAGGAAGGGGTGGAGCACCCTACATAAAGACTGAGGTAAAGACAGAATGTTAGAATCAGAAGGGGCTTTAGCCATTATCTGATCCACAACTCCCATTTTCAAAATAAGCAAATGCAGACTGAGGTTATGGAACATGCCTATGACTACAAAGATAGGAAGATAGATGTAACTAGGACTAAGGTTACTTAGCTCTTGGGGCAATACACTTATTCCTTCATTTTACAAAAAAAAAATTGTATTGCTCCTTTCAGTACCAATTCTCATCTTGCATTTGAAAAGAAATCAATTTGCAGCAAATTTTCAGGGACATACCAAATAAAGCGAACCATATCCGTAACAAGCGAGGGTGATGTCAAAACAATTCTATCTAGATTAACACAATTGTGTTTCTTCAAATCTCCACCAGAGGGCACTGTTCCCAATCAAAGTAATGAATAGAAATAGAAAATATTTTTGCCCAAATGAAAATCCACCCAATTTTGAAAACTCTTGGTGTAAATAAATATCATTATTTTGGAAGCAAACCTGTCCCAACAATATAAAATAAAACAATTCTAAGACACATGCAATGATTGATACTAAAAGACTAGTGTAACATGGCAGCAGCATGGTATAATGGTTCTGGAGTCAAAGGTCCTAGGTTCAAATCCCAGCTCTGGAGAGTCTGTTGAGGCATGTAGTTGTATATATAGCTCAGCATAATGAAAAGAGTGCTCTGAATTTAGAGTCGAAAGGAACCAATTCAAATTCCAGCTCTCCCTCTTCTACAAGGCCTTAATGCCCTTCAAGACCCCTTCCAGCTCTGAATCCGTGATCTTAATGAGTGCTTCCACACTGAAGGAATGCAATAAAAGGCCAATGTAATGTAATCAGCCTTTGCCTTCAGTGTCTTACTGAGTAAGTGCAAGCTACAAATGTTTGCTGCATCTGCTGCCATGGCTACAGCTAATACAATTCATCCAGGCAGTCCTAGTCTGGCTCCAGTGCCCTGGCTTCATCATTATCTGCTCCCCACCCCAGTGCAATCTGTGTATAAAGGCCCAATAGCAGGACAAGATGTGATCTGGACTAACCTTAATCTATGCCTATGAACATCCTCCATGTAATACACAAGGGCAGGGAGTCACTGCAGCTGCCCCCAGGACTGTTAGACCCGTAATCTCCCTCCCAACACTTACTTCTCTGACTCTTACCCAATTCCTTCTTATCTCCAAGTAACACATTCTCTACTCATCCACTCTCCACTTCAAATACAAGCTGCTATCCATCCACAACTCATACATAAGCTCCCATCCTATTCCCCGGGTGCTCCTCAACTCCCCCACAGCTTTGCAAGACTAAGCAACCAAGACCATTGTTAGCTGATGAACAAAGCAGAGGAAACTGTCTGAGCTGTGAAGAACAGCTCTACCGACCTAGAAAACTCCATGGATAGAGACTGAAATAGACTTGAAGTCAGAAAGTCCTAAGTTCAAATCCCATCTCAGATTTTTATTAACTGTGTTACCCTGGGAAAGTCACTTAAGATCTCCCAGCCTCAGTTTCTTCATCTGCAAAATAGGAATAATAATAGTACTTACCTCATGTACTTTTAGTAAAGCTCAAATAAGATAATATATGGGAAGCACTACATAAAGGATGGCTATTATTGTTGTTGTTGTTGCTGTTGTTGTTGTTAATATTATTATTACTTGCCTCCCCACCTGCTGCCATGTTAATTAATCCTGTCCTCCAATATCATTGTCATAAAGGGATTCTTCAATATGCTGAAGTCACTTGGAGGTGTGAGTACCTTCCAAATAAGGGACATCTATTACCCACACTTTTGATGGTATGCGATGGACTTATGGATCCATTCCATCTTCTTTTTAAAAACACATTATATTAATGCCTTTTTCTTCATATCAGTCATTTCAACCCTTCCCCTTTTCCATTGTGAAGATGCCTTCAACAGCTGAAATTCCAAGATGAACTTGAAAAATGATCTGATCCTATTTCCCTTTATATATGTATTTTCAGACTGATATAAAAAGAGTGTGAGGCAGAGGCAGCTGTAGTTTGAAATGATATGCTCTGGGGGAAGTGATGGCTATTGCCCTATTGTGACTCACTGAATTATTCCCCAGTCTTTGGAGTTTACTCAGCTTTCTTCAGATGTCCATTCTTGGGGCACATCTGCTACTCTCCCCAGACTGGTGGAACAGCCCACACCATTAAGGCCAAGTAAATACCCCAGCAGTGAATCTTGCTAGGAAGACCCAAAGTACAGAGAACTAGATAGCACAATGAGTAGAGCGTAAGACTTGGAGTAAGGCAACCTAAGTTCAAATCCTGTCTCAGACACTAGATGTACGACCTTGGGCAAGTTAATTAGTTATGCTCCCCCTCAGTTTCCTCATCTGTAAAATGGAGATGAAAATAGACTTACATTGCAGGATCATTGTGAGGATCAAATTCATTAACATATGTAAAGCACTTTGGAAATCTTTAAGTGCTATATAAATGTTATTGTGATGATGATGCAACATGAGGTGTTTCTCTTTGGAGCTCATCCCATTGCATGTATGGGCAACCCAGGAAATAGGGTGTTTTGACCCTATATATAACAAGATATATCTAGGTGGATATGGACACAGTGTAGCAATGTAGAGTGTAGCATCAAGAGGAACTGAGTTCAAAATCTGCCTCAGTTACTTTTTGACTATGTGACCCTGGCTGGGCAAGTCACTTGATCTCTCCATGCCTTAATTTCCCCATCTTTAAAATGAGTATGGTAAGTTTGAGGTTCTAGTCCCTTCTAGTCTCTAAATCTCTGATCTTATTATTCTACAAATAACTAGTTTCAGAATACTTGGTTTGCAACCTCGTTGATAAGGGAGAGAGAGAAAAAAAAACAAAAAAAAATAAGGGAGAGAGAGAGAAGTTAACACATATACCAAAACACACATTGCGTTGGTTCAAATTGAAGTTTTAAGTCTCCTTTGTGCTATAAATATAAAAAGTGAAGATAGGAAAAGCAGTATGTGGTGGTAAGCAGTGGCAAACAGAGTGCCTGACATCAGAGAAGGCATGGGTTCAGATTCTGTCTCTGACTCTGGCATGTGACCCTGGCCAAATCATTTAGCCCCTATGGGACTCGGTTTCCTTCCCTACAACCACATAAGGTTGTGGTGAGGATCTAGTGAGTTAATTTCCATGAAGTGTTTTGCTTTCCTAAAAATATGTAAATGCCTGGTATTTTTTTTTAAATCATGGTAAAAACTCCCTCTCTTCCACCTTAAAAGAAAGCTCACCACCACTGGGACGCCAGTACCAGCATCTGGTTTCTGTACATGGTGACTGTATCGGGGGCATGTGACTAAAGGAGAATTTGGATTCTCCCTGCTGGTATAATCATTAGTTATTTTTCCTTGATCTCCCCTCTAGATAAGGACCCAACGTAGGCTGCCCTCTTAGCCTTTTACTTTTTGGCTGTATTTTATGTCTGCAACCTTCAAAATTATAACTCCAGACTTCCTGGAAGAATGGGCCCGATTTTCACCTTAAGCTAATTTGGGTTCTATTTGAGTTTATATTCCCTTTGGCTACATTGCAGAAATCGGGGAATGGATCCAGGAATAACTTATCCATTTTTATCCTTTTCATTCCTGAAAATCCAACGTGAGAGTTTGGAAAAATGGGTTGCTGAGACTAAATGAAACTATCATCTGAAATTTGTACACTTGTGGACGAAAACAGCCTTTTGGGTTTTTAACCATTAAAAACGACAACCAGAGAAGCCTGATTCTATATTGGCTGTATTTAAATATTGGTTCTACTTAAAAACCCATTGGCGGTGGTGGTGGTGATGATGACAATATTTTCTGTTCTCAGCTACTGATTCTGTAGTCATGATTAAGCAATCTATACAAAATAAAATCTTAGGGCAATTATCTGTATATGGAGGGGTGGGGAGGAGTGGAAGAAAGATGCAGCAGGAGACAGGGGGCGAGACACCTGCTCCAGAAGAACCAAAGGGGACTGGGGCCTCACTTGTAGAGTTTGGCTGTTTTCAATGATTAAATTCCCAGGCAGTATCTCAGCACACCCCCCCTCCCCCCGCCAGCCTTTCCTTGGTCTGTGTGAATTCAGCCAGACACATTAATTTTTCTCACAGGTCCAGTAAAACCAAGTATATTGCATGATGTCAGCACAATCACTGCCTAAAGTGACAGGTCCCTAGTCCCAGGGCTTGTAGAGAAAGGAAGAAGAGAGAAGAAGGAGAAATACAAAAGCAGAAATATACAATTCCTGGCCCCCATCGGCCACATGGTAACCTAGAGCTTTACCCATTCCCAAGTCAAAGGCCAGAGGTCAGATACTCACCAAGGTTGGGCTGAGACATTGCCATTGATCTCTGGGGCATTGGGGTCGAAGTTGTAGCAGGGTGGAGGGCCATGTGGTTTAAAGGTTGAGTCATTGTCTTCCGAGGGTCTTGCCATGTGGTGATTTTTTCTATGTGACTAAAACAAAAGAAACAATTAGTTTCTAGATAATTAGCATCACAGCCATCTTCACCAGCAGCAGCAGTCAGAGCAATTACTAAGATTAAATGACAGTCAGCTATTAATTTAGAATCTGCTTGCAAGTGGGCATGTTCTCCTATTTGCTTTTATTAGAAGAACTATTGAGTTTCTAACAAGTGTACTATGAGCTTCCTAAACATGGAGGTGTTTATTGGGGTCTGCTGTCTTGGCTGCCCAACCATTGTCACCGGGGTAGGCTCTCTCAATGAGTAACATCTGAGTCCACAAGTGACTATCTCCCTTTGCCTACGGATAGGTTCCCTTGATATCAAAACACACAAAACAAGGTTCAAACTCATTAAGTCAGCATTTGTTGGCAATAGGTCAGAATACATAATACATAAATAACTTCCTTGACCAGGGCCTCTTATCCCCATTTCACCTTTACTCCATTTGCACCAACCACCTCCTTTCAGCTGAACACCTGACCCTTTCATTACATACAGAGTGGGAAGCATGCTGGAGGTGAAAAGGACCTCAGAGGTCATGGAGTTCAACTCATGCCTGACCAAGAATTCCCTCTACAACATACCCAACAGGTGATTTTCCTAAAATGGAGAGATGAATCACCACACACACACACACACACACACACACACACACACACACACACACACAGTGTTGTAGCTGTGGGCAGTCTTCCTAATGCTTTCAGTATGTCCACTGAATAGAATTAATAAGATTCTGCCCCTCCTGCCTTCTCCTCCTCCTTCTTTTCCTCCTCTTTTTTCCTTCTCCTCCCTAACAATTTCATCAGCATACAGGTTCTGCTCCCAGCCTACCAAACCACATTAGCAATCATCTCAGATGACTCAATCCAGGGACCAGATTGCCGACTTCCTCTTCCACTCCCCTCAAGCACTAACTTTTGTGGGAGTTTGTTAGCTTCTGCCCTTTGAAGATCAGCCTGATTTCTCTGGTGCCTCCACCTGAAATGTTGACATACTTTGCTTTTCTGGATGAGCACAGGGACTGATCTGAATCCAGGAGAGACATCAGATTTCCCATCTGTTTTGACAGCTGGCTATCTCATAGTTGGGGGGATGCCTGCTTCTCCTTTCTCCCAAGCCTGTGTCATTTCCAATGCCTACTTCACCTCTATTCGTTTTCCCCTGGTTACACGAACATTACAGTGATTTCTCTTCCTGCTGGACCTTTTCTCAGATTCTAGGAGTGATGACTTCTTTGTGGTCCTGGTCTTTAATGTAGGAAACTACTGTCTTTACCTTTTAAAATCACTACCGGGTATGGAAGTTTTTAACCCCAATCCATAATTTTGTGACAGTTCTCACTCCCTTCTTTTAAAAAAAAATTAAATTAATTTATTTTTTGTTTTTGACATTCACTTTTGTAAGATTTTGAGTTCTAAATTCGTCCCTCCTCCCTAACCTCTTCCCTCCCCAAGACAACATGCAATCTGATATAGGCTATACATGTACAATCATATTAAACATATTTCCACATTAGTCATGTTGTGAAAGAAGAAACAAAAAAGAGAAACTAACATGCTTTGATCTGCATTCAGACTCCATAGTTCTTTCTCTGGATATGCTGAATCCCTTGTAAAGCAGGTCTTTGATGTAGTTAACTAAGTGTGACACAAAATTTAGCCACTGGATATTTAGGAGAAAGCTGTGATTTGACAATGTGAGGCAGTTAGATGTTCTAATGAGTAGAGTGCTGGACCTGAGTTCAAGTTCTAACCCAGATACTTCATAACTGGGTGACCCAACTAGGAAAGTCACTAATCCTCTCTTAGCCTCAGTTTCTTCATCTGTAAAATGGAGATGGTGATAGTAGTAGCACCCACCTCACAAGATTGTTGAAGTGCTTATAAATACTTACTAATGGAATTTTAATATTGTCAGCTACCTCACAGGCTCACAGGTTTGGAGCTGGAAGATACCTGAGAGGCTACCATATGCAACTCCCTCATTTTGCAGATGAAAAAAACTGAGGCCCAGAAAGTTTGGCTTCTCCAAGTTGGCACAGGTAGTAAGTGAAAGGTACAGGATTTGAACTTAGGTCACCTGGATCCTCGCCCAAATGCTTTCTCAACTGTACCATGTTGCTTCTCTTATAATCTTGGATAATATCGAAAATCAGTAAGAGGACACAATAGAAACTGAAGAGAAGGAAAATCAAAGCACCAGAGTACATTAAATAAGAAAATTAAAAACAACTTATTACATAAACTTATAAACTCAACCAACAGGAGGGAGAACAGTACCCACAAACATAAAAATTCAAATGACATGACATCTTTAGCACACCTCCACCTCAATCACCCACTTCCTTTTATAGTTTTCATAAATTTCTCTTCTTTGCTAAAGTACATACAGAATAGCACAGCCAACCTCCCAGGGCCCAATATATTAAGGACAGAGTAAATACTCCATAACCAGCTGATAACACCTTCACCCCTGTTCAGGGTTCAGCAAACTCCCGTCCAGTGTATTAAACCTATGCCCCTAGGCTTCATATTATAAAAATAAACAATTATGTATGAATGCTAGATGTATTATCTGTGAGACAGTGTAACCCACCTAGGATTAGGGCAATCTACCACCAGCTACCATGATCAACACCAATAAACCCAAGTACATCCTTTCCATTAACTCTCCCCTAAGTATAGTAGCATTGACCAGGTTGCAACAGCTGGACTTCACAAAAGCGGAGAGGGAATCACTACGAGCATAATACCTCTTGAAAAATCCTCTTTCTGATATACTTTGATGTCAGGAACTTTATTATGAAAGGAAGAACTAATATAAGAAATCTAAGGATGGCTTCTCACAGGTCCTAGATCTCTCCCCACTGTAGCCCCACCAAAAGAGAGTGCTTTCTTCTGTTTTCCCTCTCTCACCTCTTTCTTCCCTCCCAATGAGGTCGGCTAGGCTCCCCAGTCCTCTCGGGCTGCTCAGAGCAAGGCAAACACAGGGCTTCCACATCCATGGGAATGATACCTCATTTAATTACGAAAAAGTCACAGTTTGGGGAACCTGACTGTTCAAGTTCTGGGACTAAGACCTCCTTTCAACTACCACCATGACCAACTAACTGAGAAGCTTCTCCCAACCTCTGCCCCCAGGACAAGTTTTGTTCCAGGGTTCTTGGTTTCCCAAGAAGTTTGTTTATTGAGGTATCACTGTATCTCCCAAATAATCTTTCAAGCAGCACAAAACGTAGTGAGAAAAAAAGGGCAGAGAGGGAGAAACTAGAGTGAAAATCAATGAGGAATGGATAATGGATTTTTTCATGGGACCTGAGATGACATCTTTGTGACCTGGATGACCTTGGGGGAGTCACACACCTCTCACTAAGAGGGATAGATTAGATGCTCCCAGCTCTAACCCCATGACCCCACAATGCTGAGCCACACTAGTAGTGCTGTGTGAGGCAGAGGATGAGAGTCAATCCCTCATCTCAGCAAATTAATCTGTCCTGAAACCACACCTCTCACTGTTGACCTTCAGAGACAGTCTAAGCCACGGATAGACCACAGAGAAATATGTCGTCCTTAAGTCACTTAACAATGGCTCCTTGTCTACATGGGAAAACTTCCTTTAGCCATGAGGCAGTTCAGTAAATAGCCAATCATTTTATTTACAAAACGAATTGTCCTCTTGCCCAAAGCTCTTTCTTGCCTAGGTTCACTGCCCCACCCCCACCCCCCAGGCTGAAATCTGGGTTTCAATTCTTCACTGTTTCATTCAGTGGTCATGGCTCCACTCCCTCCTCAGAAGTACTGAGTCACTTCCTTTCTCGACAACTCGTAATGAAAACTTTCAATTGGCCACAAGATTGAATTTACAATTCTGTCACTTGAGGAAGGACTCCCACCTGTTACACTCCCTTGTTGACATTAGTCTAAAATCATTTTGTCTCCTGGTGTTTTTCATTCTCATAAAGCCTCCTTTATACTGAGTTCAAATTCTCATTTACCACTGTGACTTCAGGAAAGTTATTTCACCTCCCTAGGCCTGTCTCTTCATCTGCAAAATGATGGGGTTGGATTGGACGGTCTCCAAGGCACATCTAGTTTCCAGATGATGGTCTAAGTATCTGTTTGTTCAGTAGACAAGAATCCTTAGTGACATATAATGTAGGTCATGCTTAAGTGGTTTTGAAAATGCAAACTTCCACCAATAATGCTGAGCGATAAATAGACTTCAAATAAACAATTGGAGAAATTTGCATCTCAGAATCTCAGGGCCTTTAACAATAGGCCAAGAAAATATGAAATATATAAGAGCAGTAATTGTGAATCATCTCTAGAAAAAGTGACTCAAAAGGGATTACAGTTCAAACGTGATTTTTTTGTTTCCTGCTAGACAGTTCTCTTGAATGGAATTTTTTTGTCGTACTAAACAAAATGACTCTAAGTAAGCATGTTTTAGGCTAGCAGTTTGGTTGGGGATTGAGTCTTTTGAAAAAACATTTTTTTTCATCTTGATTCTTATTCTACAGACTGATTAGTTCAAATTGTCTTTCCTTATAGCTCAGAGGTGGCAGAATGGTATGCCATGAGTGGTTTTTGCTGCAGTCTTGTCTGACTCTTCAAGATACCATTTGGGGTTTTCTTGGCAAACATACAGGAGTATTCTTTTTTAATCCATTTCCTTCTACAGCTCATTTTACAGAAGAGGAAACTAAGGCAAATGGGCTTAAGTGACTTGCCTGGGGTCAACCAGCTACTAAGTGTCTAAGGCCAGATTTTAACTCAGGAAAATTAATCTTTCTGACTCAGGCACTGTGCTGCATGGTATATTTCACTGATGTCAAATTAAAATAGGAAAAGGGGCCACTAACTCATATAGATCCTTTAAGACCGCAAAGATCCCTTAAGACTGCAACTTGACTTAGAAAATCACATCTTAACATTATCCATGTTTAGTTCTATTTTAATTTAGGTTTTTTTTCATTTTTCTTTAACA